GAGGGAGGTCATTGTGTCCTGCACTCCTGATGCTAGGGATGGAACCCAGGGCCTGGTGCAAGCTAGGCAAAAGCCCTACAACTGAGCTACATCCCCAACCTCTCTGATGATTTTAATCAAAATGATTAAGGAACATGCAAGGGAAACCTGTTTCAATGGTGCCTGCTGCAATGGTTTTTCATTCCCCTTGGGAATATAGGAAATCATCCCTTGTGAGTTTTTACTTCTTTTTTCTGTGGAGCTCCTAGGTTTTAGATTCAATGTCACAGTGCTATGCCATTCATGGGCTGAGTGTGCTGGATATTGTTGATTGACACTCAGCTTCCATTCCCACCTTCTAATATCCCTCTCTGTACTGCAGAAACTGGAAATGCCATGGCCAAGACTGGAAGGCAGAAGTGAGAGGAGGTCATTTTCCCACTGCTTGCAGCTGATGGCAAGCACAACCTCTGGAGGAGAGGAGAGGAGAGGAGAATTTCTGTAGTAGGATTCCAGGATCTGGTCACTAGTCTCAGGGTTCAGAGGATCTTTCAGAGCAGTGACTTCCTGACTCAGGGATAATAGTCTCAGCAGTGTTATTGTTGATTTCATCAGGTACAGTGACAGTTTCCTGACTTCTCACCTTCCTGACTACAGAAGAGATAGTACCACCCTGGTAGGACTGTTTGAAGTCATTCCTTCAGGGTCACCCTCTCCCAGCTCATGATAATGTATATAACATCATTTCTTTTCTTTTCTCTTTTTAAATATTTTATTTTTTAGTTACAGTTAGACACAATACCTCTTTATTTTATTTATAATTATATGGTGCTGAGGCTCGAACCCAGGGCCTTGCACGTGATAGGAGAGTGCTCCACCACTGAGCCACAACTCTGGTGCCATAACCTCATTTCTAATGTGAATGCTTTTTTGTTGAAACTAGCCAGGATGATTTGTTTGTTTGTTTGTTTGTTTCATTTTGTTTTGTTGTAGTTGTTGTGGCTTATTACAACTGAATCTTGAAAATACTGAAGTTCAGCACTTCAGATTTTGTTTGTCTAGGTGGAGATAATAAACCCCATAACAGACCAAATCAGATTGAGGGACCCCATGATCCCTAGATATCCTCTATGCCTAGTTGCCAGGGGCATCGCCTCTTCAGGCCACTCCAAAATGCCCCTTTTCTTTAGCAATCTGGAATGTTACTGAGTCTTCCAGAACAGGACTCATGTCCTATAGCCATAAAATTTGTTACCTGAAATTTGGATCCTGGATGTAGGAGATGTGGAATTAATACTACGTATTGTTGTAATTTAGACAAAAGCCCCAATGACATGACTTCCCAGGTTAGAAGATACAAAAGGCTTATTGTTTCTTACTTCTGATGACTTTTCTGCTGCTCTGACGATCCACAAGTCTTGAGAACTGAGCTAGCCTTTGGAAACTGTGTGGCCCAAGAGCCACACTGAAATAGCAGATATAACTGCTACTGTCTCTTTCTGGGTATCTGGTTTGGCAAGATATAAGTAAGCTGCTCGTCTTTAATGGAATAGTACAGTGGTGTTTGGCTGACATTTTGCCACCTAAAATTAATAAGCTATCTTTATAGTGTATTGAAGTTTATTTTCTTCCTCTTTCTTCTTTTTTGTTGTTATTACTGAGCTGGGAATCAAATCTGGGGTCTTGTGTATAGGAGGCAAGTGTTCTATTACTGAACTATACCCCTAACTCCAAGTGCAGATTTTTTGCTATGTTTTTGTTTTCTCTTCTTCCCCCATTCCCTCTCACCCTCTCTTTTTCATTCTGGGGATTGAATCCAGAGCTTCATGCATGCTAAGCATTCTACTATGGAGTTACATGTTGCTGTTGAGCTTCTGACGCGCTTTAAAATATATCATAGGCTGGGGTTGTAGTGTAGTGGCCCCTCTCCTCCACAGAAAATCTTAACTAACCTTCTCCAGAAATCTTCACCATAATTGATTTTAGGACTATCAGCAAAAGAGTCTCTACAAAAGAGTTCAGTGTAGGTAAACTTCCTATTTTCCTGTTGCTTTATTTTACTTGGCCACTGGCCTGGAAGAAATCAGTATTCCAGGTGTTGAACACTCCTTTACTAGTGTTCAACAAACATTTATCCAGTATAGTAGTTTGTAGAAGTGTGTTTGCAAATGCAATATGTAATATATATAAGATAGATCCTTTAACAAGGCCTCTGGCCTTGAGCTGTAGCGTCACAGAGATGTCTACATTTCTAAGATAAGAGAAGTTACCAATTGGGCTCCATGCTAAGAGCTGGCAGCGAGAGGAAAGAAAAGGGAGAAGATGCTCTCCCCTTCTCAGGTGCTGTCCTTGAAGGAGTAACTTGACTAGAACAGTGAAAGAAAAAGCTGCTTTTATGTGAACTGCAGACTGTGAACTTCTGAGCTCCTCCCTTTACATGCTAGGTATTAAATTCTAAAACTACCTGAACTTTGGGTTCAGGGGATTAATTGATACAGCAAAAGCTGTACCCTCTGAACCTGGCTGCAGCTAAATAAGACTATTTCCTGCTATTTTTTCGGTGCCCTGTCTCATCTGTCCCTACAACAGTAGCTCAGTGGTAGAACACGTGCGTAGCACATGTGAGGCCTGGGTTCAATGCTCAACACCACATAAAAATAAATAAACAAAAGAAAGGTATTGTGTTCATCTACAAACTTAAAAATAAATAAATACATAAAATATAACCTAGACCAGCCTTCTCCATCTCTGCCATCTCTATCCTAACCCCAGCTAACAGTAACTTTTAGTGAGTGAAACCACTACAGTCACATCATAACTCTCTGCTGATTAACATTCTTCAAAGCTATTCAATTGAACTTAAGAAACAAAATCCAAACTTAACTTGGTCTCAAATCCCTATGTAACTGGGGACTATCTATTCATATTTCCTGTTACCTGGTCTGGCTACATAATTTGTGGGCTTAGTGCAAAATGAAAATTCAAGATTCCTTGTTCAAAAAGTGTTAAGAATTGCAAGAGATCAATGGTACAATATTTAACCATGTGGCCTCTTTCTGAATCTGGGGCCCTATGTGGCTGCATGTCATCCACTCCCTCACCTCAGAATCACTCTTCTGTTTCTTAGACATTTTCCAATCTGTTTTAGAGCCTTTGTTTTATGCTTGTTTGTTCTTACTATTGGGGATTGAACCCAGGGTGACTACTATTGAGTTACATCCTCAGCCTTTTCGTTGCTGTTGTGGTACTGGGGATTGAACTCAGGAATGCTTTACCCTTCAGCTATATCTTCAGCCCTTTTTATTTTTTTATTTTGAGACTGTGTCTCACTAAGTTGCTAAGTGCTGGCCTTGAACTTTTGATCCTCCTGCTTAAGCCTCCCTAGTTACTCAGATTAAAGACATTCACCACCACACCTGGCTTGTTTAACTCTCCTTCTGCCTGGGATGCTCTACTGTTTCATGTGAGCCTGACTTACTCCTCATCAGGGTCTCTGCTGACGTCAGGAACTGAGAGAGGCCATCCCTGACCCTCAACCTAAAGTAGCCATTGAATCACTCTATGTTGTTGCTTGTTTTTTTTTTTTTTTAAATATTTATTTTGTAGTACTCAGTGGACACAACATCTTTTTATTTTATTTTTATGTGGTGCTGAAGATCGAATCCAGCTCCCTGTGCATCCCAGGCAAGTGCTCTACCACTTGAGCCACATCCCAGCCCCGTTGTTGCTTGTTTTAATACTTTGCCATGCACTTCATCTATTTACTTATTTCGTTGTGTTGAATTATTGGCCATCCCCCCTATTATGCTCAAATTGCGTCTCCACCAAAATTCTTATGTTGAATCCTGTCTCTTAGTTTCTCAGAATGTGACCTTATTTGGAAATAAGGTCATTGCAGATGTAATTAGTTAGTATGAGTCACATTGGATTAAAGCTTTTTTTTCTTTTTGGTAGTGGGGATTGAACCCACAGTCTTGGAAGTTTTACCTAAATGCTCTACCACTGAGCTACAACCCCAGCGCCAATTTCTGTTTGGCGCTCTCTCTCTTCCTTGAGACAGGGTCTCAATCTGTTGCCCAGATTGACCTGAAACTCTGGATTCTCTTGCCGCAGCCTCCAAAGTAGCTGAGACTAGAGGCATGCGCCGCTGCCTGGCTTCACATTGTTTTAGAGTGAACCCCTAATCCAATATGACTGGTATCCTTATTTGGACAGTGAAGGAAAATGCTGTATGAATATGTAGATGATTATCCACAAGCCAAGGACATAGCCCTTGGAACAGATGCTTCCCACACCGCCTTCAGAAGGAGCAAACCAACCCTGCAACCTCGATTTCAGACTTGTAGAATCGTGAGACAATACATTTCTCTTTACACCACCCAATTGGTGGTACCTCGTTCCAAGTAGCCCTCAAGCTAATATGCCACCCCGCCCCGCGCCGCCCATTAGAACTAAGCTCCTGAGATATGTAACCGGTCTTGTCTTGTTCACAGTTGTCCCAGAACGTGCCAGTACCACCTTGTACGGCTGTTTCACTAGTGTATAGGAACCTGAAAGTCGAAATAGCGAAAGGAGTTGTATCTTTATCTTTTGTAACTACTACTCGGTGAAGGTGGATGGCGGGTGTGCAAGAAAAACCTGTTGAGTAAATTAAACCATTTCCCTCATTTCTGGAATTCTGCGGAGAGCGCCCTAAGTAAAATGCGAGCGGACTGATAGGACAAAGCTCTAATGCTCCAGGCTGCCTTACTATCCAGACGTGCTCTCAGATCTCGGGACAAAGAGACTGATACTTGGCAGATCTCTCAAGTGGGACTCAAAAGACAGAACCGAGACAGCTTCTTACAACCACTGGTTCTTGCCCCTTTTGGCATCTTGGTACTTGTAGTTTTGTCCACTATATCTTCCCCCGAAAAGCAAGAGCTGAGACCACAACTCCCATCACTCCGCGAGCACTGGAGCCTTCAGAGCGCATCCTCTGGAGGGGGCGCCAGCGCCATTGACGAACCTGCTGGCCGAAGGCCCGCCTTCCTGAGCTCAATAGCCTGTACGATTGGCCAGCTGCCCCGCCTCTCACCGGAGGGGGCGCCAGGTGAATGAAAGGGGGGCGTGTCGGTGCGCGTAGCTTGGTGGTGGCGGCGCTGCTGGAACCCGGTGGAAGGTGAGAGCCTAGAAGCAGGTTCGCGCTGCCTCAGTCATTGGTTTGGGGAACATTGGGGGCTCCCCGAGAGGCCAGTTCTGTGGGTGGGTTGCAGGCAGGGTTGCTCCCATCCAGTCAGCCTCCTTCCGAGCGCCTGGCCCTGGCAACTCCTGGGACCCCGGCGGCGCGAACCGGCACTCAGTGGCCGATCCCCTCCCTCCTTCAGTGTGGGGAGAGGCGGGCGCGGCGGCACAGCCACCCGACTCCTTGGCATTGGGCTGTCCCTCGCGTCGTCCAGCCGGGGTCCTGGCGTCCACTCATTACGATGGTGAATGATGCTTGGCCCGGCTGGGGCAGTGTCCGCCGCTGCGATGGTCACTTTGTCGGGGAGGCTGCGGGAGGGGCGAGGCCTCGAGGCCCCACCCTCGGGAGCCCTGGACTGCCCAGTAGCTGGTTCCGGAGGTCTCCACCGGTCAGGCTCTGGATAGCGGAGGGTCCTCCTATCTTGGAGTAATTTAGCCTGTACACTAAAGATGCAGTTGGCCCGAAATTCTTCCTGTGCAAATGAAAACTCTTCTCTGTGGTTCCCATCCTTTCCATGTGTCGGAGAAAGGAGTGACTTTCCCAACCCAGCACAGGATATCCAGGAGGATTTGGGGGAGATCGGCTAACATAGTGGTTAAGGATGTCAATTCTAGATTCAATTGATTCCAGATTTTTGGGTTCCTCCTAGCGTGGACGTGTTATCTGTATCTTTGAACCTCAATTTCCTTCTCTGAGAAAGAGGATGTAATGATAACATCTACTGTACTGGATTATTGTGAGGTTAAGATTAATACGCTTATAAAGTAGTGGTATCATGTTTTGTACTGAACACTTTACAGTAAATGCTAACAACTTAAGTTTTTATTATTCTCAGGTTGCTGAGACGGGAGGAGTATTGTCAGGAGTGGGCTGGAATTCAAGGTTGCTTTAGCCTCTGATCAAAGATAGATGTATGTCTGGTTACCATTCCCTCAAGGGCATATGGGAGTTTGTGTTGCAGGTGGTGATATGGAGCACAGGCACTTTACTTGATTAATTTTTCTATTCCTGACATCATCCTTATGTCAAGCAGTGTACCTATGGCTAATAACTGTTGAACTGGAACCATGAGAAGGTTAGAAAGGGGCTAGGGATGTGGCTCAAGCAGTACCGCGCTCGCCTGGCATGTGTGCGGCCCGGGTTTGATCCTCAGCACCACATACAAACAAAGATGTTGTGTCCACCAAAAACTAAAAAATAAATATTAAAAAAAATTCAAAAAGAAGGTTAGAAAGGTCCCTGCCAGAGTGTGGGTAAATGTGCTTCTAAGAGTGTGGTCAATGAGAAGTCTACCCTTACCTGCTTTACCAAGGGAAGTGGTGATCTTCAGCATGTCCCAAGGATGCAGAGCAAGTGGGGTTGATATAAATAAATATTTCATAAGTACATACCAAATGCAGAATTGGGGAAATCTTTGGAAAAATATGTGACTAGTCTTTCTAAAAGTCATGGAGTATTTGAATGTCTTGGAAAAAAATCAAGAATATTTACAGTAAGAAAGCCAAAAGAAATGGGTTTGGGATATTCTGAAAGGAGCATCTTCCAGTGAAAGAAGGAAGTACTCTGGGAAGGAGTCCTGTAGATCAGACTGTTCTGCAAATTAAGAAGTATTATAGTAGTGGTACACAATTGTAATCCCAGTGAATTGGGAAGCTGAGGCAGAAGGATTGCAAGTTCAAGGCCAAACTCAGCAATTTAGTGAGACCCTGTCTCAAAAAAAAAAAAAAAAAAGGTAAAAAAGGGCTGGGTATGTAACTTAGTGGTTAAATGCCTGTGGGTCCAATCCCTGATACCAAAAAAAAAAAAAACAACAACAACAAGTATTGTAAACTTGGTGTGGTGGTGCATGTTTATAATCCTAGCTACTTGGGAGGCTGAGGCAGGAGGAATGTAAGTTTGAGGCCAGCCTAGGCAATTTAGCAAGACCCAGTCTCAAAAAAAAAAAAAAAAAAAAATGGTGGAATGTAGCCCAGAGATAGTATGCTTGCCTACCATGTATAAGGTCCTGGGGGGAAAAGAGTCTGTATATACTTACATATTTAGCTTCCAGGATTGCCAACTTCTTATTTCTATACCCATTCTTCCTTTTTTTTAAATAAATTAACTTATTTTTTTAGGTGGTACCAAAGATGGAACCCTCACCCATGCTAGGCAAGCGCTCTACCACTGAGCCATAGCCCCAGCATACCACCCCCCTTTTTTTTAATTTTAAAAAAGAATGAATCTGGTCATGGTGGGACACTTCTGTAATCCCATCAATTTGGGAGGCTGAGGCAGGAGGGATGCAAGTTTGAGGCCAATCTTAGTAACTTAGTGAGACCCTGTCTCAAAATAAAAAATAAAAAGGGCCAGGGAAGTTGCTTAGTGGTAGAGCACCCCTGGGTTCAATCCCCAGTACCAAAAAAAAAAAAAAAAAAAAAAACAAAAAACAAACCTTTCTGTGCATTTGGAATGTAGAACATTTGGAATGTTCTACAATGTTGTATGTATTGCTTTTGTTCTTTTTTTGAGATAAGATCTTGGTAAGTTGTGGAAGCTGGCCTACAACTTGGGATCCTCCTGCTTCAGCCTCTCAAGTCACTAGGATTAAAGCATGTGCCACCACCCTTCAAGATTTGCTTTGTATTTTGAGATGGGGGTCTCTTTATATTGCCAGACTGGTCTCAAGTAATCCTTCTGCCTCAGCCTCTCTAGCAGCTGAGACTACAGGCCTGCACACCACACACCCCCCAGTCAAGAAGATTTAAAATGAAAAGTGAAGGACCCCTGACCACATTCATTCATTCATTCTTCCCTCCCTCCCTCCCTCTTTTCTCCCTCCCATTTTCCTTCTCTCCTTTTTTTCTTTCCTGTACTGATAATTGAACCAGGAGCACTTAACCACTAAGCCACTTCACTATCTCTTTATAGTTTTTATACTGAGACAGGGTCTCACTAAGTTGCTGTATTGCTGAGGCTGGCCTCAAACTTGCAATTGTCCTGCCTCAACCTCCTGAGTTACTGAGATTACAGGTTGCCCCACCAAGCCCAACCAGACACACTTTTTATCCCTAGTTCTTCTCCCCAAGGGTATCCATTCTTAACTCTTTCTCATATAACTTTCCAGAAAAAAAATTACATGTATGCTAGAAAATGCAAATATACATATATGTGTATGTGTGTATATACACACGTGTGCATAAACTATACATTTTGTTTTTGATTTTTTATCTCTTAATTTATTTTGATGATCTTTTCATATAAATGTAGATAGTTCTTATATAATTGTGTCAACCTAAATAGCCATCCGAGAGAGATTCTTTAGAGATTAATTAAGTTTATTTGGGAATAGAATAGCATAGCAATGGCAAAGTACATGCCATAGTAAACTTGATATAACCAATGAGATTAGTCAAAGGGAAGTTTTTAAAGACAAAATGAGAAGAATTACATATTTTGAAACAATAATTCTTGGCTGCAAGGATTGCATTGGTCTAATATTAAACAAGCAGTTGTTGGGCATGTGTCCTTGTGGCATTTTGGGGGAAGGTAGCAGTGGCCTTTGTGCAAGATTGTGGTTCTAGAAGTCTTTGAGATACTTCTTGTTATCAGAAATTAGCAGGAGATCCCCTCTTTCATACTCTCCTGGCATACTTTAATTTAATTTAATTTTGCTAAGGTTTAACTCAACTTTGCCAGGTATGGTGGTACATATCTGAAATCCCAATGACTCAGGAGTCTGAGATAAGTGGATTGCAAGTTTGAAGTCAGCCTCTGCAATTTAGTGAGAACTTTTCTTAAAAAAAAAAAAAAGAAAGAAAGAAAGAAAGAAGAAAAGAAAGGACTGGGCATGTGGTTCAGTGATTGAGCGCCTCTGGGTTCAGTCTCCACTAATACACCCACCCCCACACCCCCCACACACAAAGACTCCACTTTGATTCTGTCAGATTTCACAGTTGCTTACTATTCTATGGTGTGACTGTAATAGCAATGATTTAACTTCTCTCCTAATAATGCAGGTTCAGATTATTTCTACTTTTGTGATAGTACAAAAATGTGGTAATACGTAAAACTCTGAATATATGATTTGATGTATTTTGGTGACTACATCTCAACAGGTAAATTTATAGCAATGAACTTGCTGTGATATAAAGTGTATTATTTTAAGGATTTTTTTTTTTCCTTTCTTCTTTTTCTTTGAGACTAGCCTTGTTATGTTGTCCAGGCTAGCCTTGAACTGCTGGGCTTAAGTGATCATCCTGTCTCAGCCTCCTGAGTTGATGGAACTATAGGCCCTCACTAACACCCCAGCTTGCATTTTTTTTTCTTTGACAAGTATTGGGGATTGAACCCTCTACCACTGAGCTACATCCCAGCCTTTTTTATTATTATTTTATGATGCTGCAAATTATATCCTCACCAACACTGGGAATTAGCACATTGAAAAATGTGGTTTTTATCAATCCGAAATGTTTTTTCTCGGTTCTGAGCAAGAATAAAATATAGTATCTAAATATGGTGTTTTTCTGTATCTTGATTTTACCTTAATATTTTAATTGTCAAAGGCAATAGCAAGAACTGCTAAGAATGCCTGGTTGGGTCATTTGAAAAGGTGAGAATGACCCTGCATCCTGTGACAACTTTCAGGGTTGATTTATTTGGGAACAGTAGAATTTTTCATCTATCTGAGAGTTTTCTTCCTTTTTTTTTTTTTTGTTTTTGTTTTTGTTTTTGAACCAAGATGTTGACTTTAACTACTTTGGATGAAAAAATTATCAAAATTTTGGTATAATTTCTTTGAGTTTAAAATGAATATAAAAAGGAGAATCTTCTTGATGCCTTAAGTCCATCAATTATAGCCTTGGGCTATAAGTTATTGATGTCCTTAGGCCATTTTGAGTGTGTGGGATCTGTTAATACCTTTAGCTAAATGGCCTTAGGCTGATATTTTTAAAATATTCCTTGTTCAACTTTTTGTAACTTTTTGAATTTTCCCTGTTAGTTCTCACTTTTAAGTTTGTCAGTTGATCTGTTTATAGAAGTTCCTCTCCATTACCTTCCTAATTGGTTCTCTGGTTTCTAAATTTATTACATCCCTTGTTGTAAATATGCATAAAGTAGATGTAGATTGCTATTCAAGAAGGTTTGGATGGGTCTTTATGAGTAAGGTCTGTGCAGTTAATGTGTAGGCCTCAGGGGACCTAATTTGCAGGTAGAGAGACCTTTTTGGAAAGAAGGGATTGCCTTGTCTTTGGGTTGGGGGACAAACACTTTGAGCTCTATTTGTAGAAAGGTAGTGTGGTTGAAGAGTTGTTAGCATATCTAGGTAGCCTTTTGTGACTCCAGTAAAGGGAGATGATATACAGTTGTCCCTTAGCATATAGGGAATTGGTCCCAGGACTCCAAAGGATACCAAATCCCTTCTATAAAATGGCCTGTAATCCCAGTGACTTGGGAGGCTGAGGCAGGAGGATCATGAGTTCAAAGCCAGCCTCAGCAATGAAGAGGCACTAAGCAACTCAGTGAGACCCTGTCTCTAAATAAAATTCAAAATAGGGCTGGGAATGTGGCTCAGTGTTCACATGCCCCCAAGTTCAATCCCCGGTATAAAAAAAAAAAAAAAAAGCCTAACATTTGCCTATAACCTATGCACATCCATTAAATCGTCAATGTATATTCTGTGTAAATAATTGCTATACGGTATTGTTTAGGGAATATTGACAAGAAAAAGGACTGAACATGTTCAGTACAGACACAACTCCCTCCCACCCTGAATATTTTCAATCTGCAATTGGTTGAACACATGGATGCAGGACCCACAGATACAGAGGGCTGACTGTACTTGATTGTAGGAACTTCTCTGAGCTTGGAGGGTCAGTGGGTAAAGGGGCAGTTATGGTGGTTCTGTGGTTTGTGTGATGAGAGAAGATGAAGGGGAGAGCTGGGGGAAGAGGGCCAGCATCTCTGTCTTCATTACCAGGTGGACTTAAACTTGATTTATACTTGTTCTACTTAGCAGTTAAGTTCCTTTTAACTTAGCAAAATACTGTAACCAAAACACTATGCCAGGTGCTGAGGAGCTGTCACGGTGAGTGAGACATGCACATGCCTTCAAAGGGCTTGTATTCCACTGACAGAGAAGGGCCAGGAAAGAAAGAAAGAATAGGAACGAGTCAACCAAAGGTAGTAGAGTTCTGTCAATTATGAGTCTTTTAGTTGCAAGCAATAAAAAATCGAACTCGGACTAGCTAAAGCAAAAAGAGATTTAATTGGCTCTTTGCACAGCTTGAGCTGGGGCTCAGATGGTGTCCCCAGGTTCCATCAGCTGACTAGGCTGTGGTCTTTGTCAGGCTGGTTCCCCTGGTGGTATGGTAGCAGTGTCTCTTACATCCTGTATGCTCATAGAGCAGAGTGCTCTTTTTTCCCCCCTCCAAAAAACCCAGCAAATGTTTTATTTCTTTTCATTGGCTCTGGCCAAGCCTTATGGCCATCTCTGAGTCAACCACTCTGATCAGAGGGTGGGATGCAGTGATCGTAGCAGCCTGAATTGCATCTTACACACCTGGAGCCCAGGGATAGCACCATCTTTATGCAAAGCACATTGGCCAAGAACAGGGAAAGGATGTTTTCCCCAGGAGCCTACAACCACACCAGAACTATTAGAATAGGTAGCATATACTGACTTTCCCAGGAAGCCACCAGATGTTTCCACAAAGTGGTGATAAAAGATGTGAGCTGTGATTGTACTTGTCAATCTCAAAATCCATATTGAGACACTAGAATAGTTCTTTTTAGGTTTGGGGTAGTTTTTCGTGTGTGGTGCTTGGGATTGAATCCAGCTACCACAGAACTACAATCCCAGCCCTTTCTTATTTTTATTTTGAGTCAGAGTCTTCCTTAATTGCATTGGTGAGGCTGGCCTCAAACTTGGAATCCTCTTGCCTGAGCCTCCTGAGACGCTGCGATTTCAGCTGTGTGCATCATGTCCAGATAAATTTGGATATTTTCTGTAATTTGAGCCTTAAAGAAAGGAGAATGTGGGGGGCTCAGTGGTGCACGCCTATAATCAAAGAGGTTTGGGAGGCTGAGTCAGAAGGATCACAAGTTCAAAGTCAGCGTCCGCAACAGGAAGGCACTAAGCAACTCAATGACATCATCTCTAAATAAAATACAAAATAGGGCTGGGGATGTGGCTCAGTGGTCCAGTACCCCTGAGTTCAATCCCCAGTAGCCCCTGCCAAAAAAAAAAAAAAATTAAAAAAAAAGAAAGAAAGGAGAACGTAGGGCATAAGAACGTTGACTCTGGAGGACCACAGACCCAGTTCTGGGTCCTGTCTTTGTTATAGCTAGGGCATCTCCTGTCCTCAACTGTCTTGTGGGAAAAATGGGGACAATGTCAGTATTTACTCACAGGGTTTTTATAAAAATTTTTAGGAAATATCCACGTAAAACACTTAAGTGTCATGCTCACTTGCAGTTAGCTATAGTTATTTTTGTTCTTCTTTTATCAATTAGCCTAACTGGATAACCTCTGATTTTTTTAAATTATTTTTTTCACTTGTTTACTTATTTATTTATTTATGTATGTGGTGCTGAGGATTGAACCCAGGATCTTGCACATGCGGGGCAAGCACTCTACTGCTGAGCCACAACCTTAGCCCGGTGGATAACCTCTGATTTTATTAGATCCCAAATAATTCATGTCATAAAGACACTATTGAACCAGTGATTTTAGAAGTTGTGTTTTTGTTGTTGATGATGATGTTCCAGGGATTGAGCCTAGAGGTTCAATCAACCACTGAGCCACATCCCTATCCCTTTTTATTTCCTTATTTCAAGACAGGGTCTTACTAAGTTCTCAGGGCCTCACCAAGTTGCTGAGGCTGGCATTGAATTTGTGCTTCCCTTGCCTTAACCTCCTGAGTTGCTGGGATTACAGGCATGCACCATCATGCTGAACTATAAGAATTTTATTTTATGTTTTTAATGAGCATTTTGCCGGGTGTGGTGGTACACACCTATAATGCCAGCTGTTTGGAAGACCGGGGCAGGCAGATCGCAAGTTCCAGTCCAACCTGGGCAACTTAGCAAGACCCTGCCTCAAAATAAAAAAAATAAATAAATAAAAATGGTTGAGGATGTAGCTCAGTGGTAGAGAATTCCTGGGTTCAATTCCCCGGACTGCCAAAACATAGTAAGCATCTTATTTGTAAGGTTGGAGTTTATGAGTTAACTTAAACAAAAATCTTGGCAGAGATACAGGCCGCTTCAGAGCAGCCGCAGCAGCTGGTGGCGATATGGAGATGCAGTCCTATTATGCCAAGCTCCTGGGGGAGCTGAATGAACAGCGGAAGAGGGACTTTTTCTGTGACTGCAGCATCATCGTGGAAGGGCGCATCTTCAAGGCCCACAGGAACATCTTGTTTGCCAACAGCGGCTACTTCCGAGCCCTGCTCATTCACTATATCCAGGACAGCGGGCGGCACAGCACCGCCTCCTTGGACATCGTCACCTCCGACGCCTTCTCCACCATTTTAGATTTCCTTTATTCCGGGAAGTTGGATTTGTGTGGGGAGAATGTGATTGAAGTCATGTCAGCCGCCAGCTACCTGCAGATGAACGACGTGGTGAACTTCTGCAAGACATATATCCGGTCGTCCCTTGATATTTGCCGAAAGATGGAGAAGGAGGCCGCTGTGGCCGCAGCGGTGGCCGCAGCCGCAGCAGCAGCAGCAGCAGCAGCAGCAGCAGCAGCGGCAGCTCATCAGGTCGACAGTGAGAGCCCCAGTTCAGGCAAGGAGGGGACCTCCTGTGGCACCAAGAGCTTGCTGTCCTCTCCAGCCAAGGGAGAAGAGAGTGTGGACCCGAGAGAATCCCCTTGCGATGACTGCGGGGACTGCCACCCCTTGGAACTGGTGGTGAAAGACAGCCAGAGTGGAGGCTCCACTGATAGTGACTTCGCCACTCTGCCCAAACGGGTAGAGCCCAAGGTAGAATTCGATGCCGCTGAAGTGGAGGTGGAGGTGGGTGAACAGCTGCAGCAGTATGCCGCCCCCCTGAGTCTGGCCCACATGGAGGAAGCCTTGCCCAGCGGCCAGGCCATGGACTTGGCTTACAGTAACTACCACGTGAAGCAGTTCCTAGAGGCGCTCTTGCGCAACGGTGCTGTCCCGAGCAAAGACGAGGCAGACCATCACTTCCCTCGGGGTTTGGAGGGAAGACCGGAAGGTGCAGGGGTAGCTATGAGTTCCATGATGGACGTCCAGACTGACTGGTATGGAGAGGACTCAGGTGAGCTCCATTAACATTCATCGTCTCTGCTGCTCATTTAGCATGCATCTTCTGTGCCTTGTGTTCTTCCATCATCGTGGTCACCATCACCATTGTCGTTTGTCACTGCCAACATCTGTCACCATCACCACCAGCACCACCATCATTGCTGCCACTACCACCACCACCTGCTCCATTCAGGACATCGTTTCTTCAGGTATCTGTGTTTTATCTCTACAACCAGAGTACAGTCCTCTTTTGGTATACATGAGGGATTGGTTCCAGGATTCCCTCAGATAATAAGTACCTGGTGCTCAAGTCCCTTATGTAAAATGATGCAGTATTTGCCTGTCACCTATAAACATCCTCCTATATACTTTAAATCAAGTCCAGATTATGAATAATATCTGATACAATGCAAATGCTATGTGAATAGTTGTTATACTACATTGTTTGGGGAACAATGACAAAACAATGAAAAAATCTGCACTTGTTCAGTCACTTTCTTCCCAAATATTTTCAGTTCATGATTGGTTGAATTCATGGATAATGAGGGCATGTTGAGGGCAATTTGTAGATACGGAAAGAAGCCCCTCTTTTCCACTCTCCAGCAATGGGATCTTAGTTAAATCACTGAATCTCTGAGCCTGTTTTGCCATATTTGAGTTGGAAAGAACCGTTCCTATCCTATCTTTCCCACAAGGTTATTGTGAGGATCAGAAGAGAAGGTTGTCAGTATTTTTTCCTGACGTAGGATACTGTGTTCTATTGCAAAGGAGATTTATATGGTGCCTGGCACATAGTAGGCACTCAGTATATATGAGTGGTTGAAGTGCTGTCTACTTGAGAATATTTTAAAACTAGTGTTTAGCTCCATGGGAGTTAATTTCTCACATCCTTTGGTAGGTGTGTCTGTGTTTCCGTGCTGGAGCTGAAACCCAGGGCCTCATGCATACTGAGCTGCATCCCCAGCCCCAGGCCATTTGTGCTTTAAGAGAATTTGGTTGTTTTCTTGAGCAATTCTGAAAAATGAGTTCACATGTTTAACTCTTCTTAACAGGTAGGACAATCACAAGCCAGCTTATGGGAGACAGAATCAACTGGGCTTCCACTTTACTGATGAAAGGTGACTTCAGAACCCCAAGAAGTAATGAATCACCTAGTTCGACCTTCAGTATTAAACAATGAAAATCTTTTAAATAAGAGGAAATCAGGCCAGGCACAGTGGCACATACTTGTAACCCCAGCAGGTTGGTAGGCTGAGGCAGGAGAATTGCAAGTTCAAAGCCAGCCTCAGCAAAAGTGAGGTGCTAAGCAACTCAGTGAGACCCTGTCTCTAAATAAAATAGAAAATAGGGCTGGGGATGTGGCTCAGTGGTCAAGTGCCCCTGAGTTCAATCCCTGGTACCAAAAAAAAAAAAAAAAAGAGGAAATCAATTACATTTATTCCTTATTAAATGACCATTTTGATACTTGTTAATTTCTTTCTTTCTTTTTATTTTTTTATTTTATTTTTTAAAACATTATTATTTATTTTAGTTTAGTTTAGTTCTAGGTGGACACAATATCTTTATTATTATTATTTTTATGTGGTGCTGAGGATCGAACCCAGTTCCCCACGCATACCAGGCGAGCACGCTACCAATTGAGCCACATCCCCAGCCCCTCTTTTTATTTTTTTAAAGCAAGAATACCATGTCTGATTAAAACTAGACTTCAAAAACTTGAAACTGCTGCTCTTGTCTTCCAAGTCTCTGGCTTAACCAGCATTTGTTTAAGACAGGGGCTGTTTCAGTGAATATACTGTGGGGACTTGTTGGAATTCCCATTTCTTCATGATAATAGCATTTCACGGGCTGAGGATATAGCTCTGTGGTTCAGTGCTTGTCTAGCATATATAAGGCCCTGGGTTCAGTCCCCAATACCACCAAATACCATTTGTTCATCCTACAACTATTAACATGATTTTAAGTATTAAAAATAGCATTTCACCATCCACGAGACCTTCATAGTCCCCCATGAATTTGGCAGAGGAAATATGGGGAAACAGAGACTGGGAAGGGTTTAGTGAACTTTTCAAACACAGAACCCGTAATCAAGCATCAGAGCTTCAACTAGAAACCTGGGTTGGCTCTGGGTGCAGTGGTGCATGCCTGTAATCCCGGGGCTCAGGAGGCTGAGGCAGGAGGATCTTGAGTTCAAAGCCAGTCTCAGCAAAAGCAAGGAGCTAAACAACTCAGTGAGACCCTGTCTCTAAATAAACTACAAAATAGGGCTGGGGAGTAGCTTAATGGTAGAGTGCCCTTGAGTTCAATCCCCAGTACCAAAAACAAAGAAAGAAAAAGAAAAAAAAAAAACTGGGCTGGCTTTATTCCACTTATTAAAGTGACTGAGAAGGTGGCTTGAGGGGATAGAGAATTTCAGTGTCATTATTTTTTGTCCTTTAGCCCCTCTTCCCATAAGCTCAAAGAGTATCTAGAAATAGTAACTTGGCTCTGCACCACCTTTATTCAAGTCTGGTCTTGACCAGTATGGAAAGTCAGGTTTATAACTGCAGGGTATTATGGCGAGGAGCTACCTGGGCCTCAGCAGTGCCAGTTGTCACCCAGGTATTGATTTCATTAACATAGCTCCAGAGTGAATTTAGTCCAAGTGCCAAGGTACATAGTGGGATTGATTTGTTTGGTTATTCATTTATTTACTCCAATATTTGAGCTCTTTCCTTGTGAAGGCACAAAGTTGTCACACATGGATGCAGCCCTCAAAGAACTAATGGTGTCTTTTTGTGGGGGCAGAGGTACCAGGGATTGAACTCAGGGGTACTTGACCACTGAGCCACATCCCCAGCCCTGTTTTGTATTTTATCTATAGACAGAGTCTCACAAGTTGCTCAGTATCTTGCAGTTCCTGAAGCTGGCTCTGAACTCTCGATACTCTTGGCCTCAGCCTCCTGAGCCATTGGAATTATAGGTGTGTGCCACCACACCTGGCCCAGTGGTGTCTTTAGAGAAGATAAGAGGTGTTTAGAAATGATGTCATCCCTTCCTGGCACCAAGAGAGAGAGTTCTGTGTTCATAGTGGTCTACCAAGAGGATGATTTCTTACTGGGAATCCTGGGAGATTCCACAGACATGGCATTCCAGAGTAAGAGAAGGAGACAGGGAAAAATTGATTTGAGTCAGACTGCAGGAAATCCTCAATGCTTAGTGAGGCTTTATCTACAGGACAGAGGAGTTTTAGGTAATTTGTGAGCTTGGAATAGACCAGATATATGCTTCAGGGAGATTAATTTGGCCTCAACACGAGATGGCATGAGACAGGGCAGGGTCCCTGGGAGGTTGCTGCAATAATCACAAATATGCATTGCTCATCCCTGACATAGCAGACGCTGTCAAAGCTAAGGTCCTCCTGTCATCTCATCTCCTCCAGACTCTTCAACCCCAGCTCCAGCATGTCCCACCTCTTCTTGGAAAGTTCACCTACATTGGTTGCCTGCATTGTTTTGCTTCCTAATGAAGATAGGACACCTAGGAAGTAAATTGGAAAGAAGATGTAGTGATTAGAAATTGTACAGGTATCGGGGAATGTTCCAGACAGGGAGAGCAAAGTGCAAAGGTCCATGTGTATGATCATGCTTGTGAGTGAACAAAAGGGACAGCACAGATTCTGGAGTGGCTTTAGTGGGCTGAGCAAGGCTGAGAGTGTAGAGAGATGAGGAGGCCGGGTGAGGGTCGACCAGGTCAGGCTTTGCAGGCCATGGGAAGTCCTTTAGGTTTTTTTTTTTTGGTACCAGGGATTGAACCCAGAAGGGCTTAAGCACTAAGCCACATCCCCAGGCTCTTCTTAATCTTTCTTTGGAGACAGGGTCTGCTGAGTTGCTTAGTTGCCTCACTTAAGTTGCTGAGGCTGACTTTGAACTTGTGATCCTCTTGTCTCAGACTCCCGTTTGCTGGGAGCCAGTGCCACCATGCCTGGCAGGAGGTTCTCTTTTGATGTCTCTTTTTCTCAATGAGTTAAGAAGTAAGAACAGCTGCTGAAATTGAGGAGTAGGAGTTGGGGTTTGAGTTTTGAGCAAAGAGAAGGATTAAAATAGTCACTGAGAAAAGTGGAAGAGTGAATGAACCAGGGAGACAGTTAGGATGCCTGGGCAGAACCAATGGATTTTATGAGTTTAGTGGCCATGAGAGAAATGAGATCAGAAGTGGGAGGGATGGCCCAGTCCTGTAATCCCAGCTACTTAGGAGGCTGAGACAGGAGGATGGCAAGTTTGAGGCCAGCCTTGGCAATTTAGCAAGAAGCTACCTCAAAATTTAAAAAGGGGTTGGTGATGTAGTTCATGGTAGAGCACTTGCTTGCAATAGGCTCTGGATTCAATCCCCAGTACCACAAAACAAACAAATCAACAACAACAAAAAATGAGATCAGAACACACAGTTGTATATTTTTCTCTGTTGGTGTTAAGTTGCCTTGTTTCAGGTATGGAGTAGCTAGAAAGCACTGGGGTCATGATTCTCATCACTGACTGTGCATTAGATTTGGGGGGCACTTTAAAAATATGATGCTAGCCAGGCTCAGTGGTGCAAGCCTGTGATCCCAGTGACTTGGGGTGGTGGTGAGGCAGGAGGATTGCAAGTTTGGGGCCAGCCAGGCTTAGCAACCTAGTGAGGCCCCGTATCAAAAAATAAAAAGAGCTGGGGATGTAGTTCAGTGGTTAAGTACCCCTGGATTCAATCCCCACTACCCCCCCCACATCCCCCAAAAAGATGCTGGACTTGTAGCTCAATAGTAGAGCACTTGCCTAGCATCTGTGAACTCTGGGTTTGATCTCTAGCAACACACACACACACACACACACATAAATATCTTGTTTAGTTATAAATGGACACAATACCTTTATCTTGTTTGTTTGTTTATTTTTATGTGGTGCTGAGGATCGAACCCAGTACCTCACCTGTGAGGCAAGTGCTCTACTGCTGAGTCCTAGCCCCAGCCCCAGCCCCTGGACATCAGTATATTTTTAAGTGTTCCAGGTAATTCTGATATGTAGGTAAGTTGCATCCTGGGATCTACTGGTTGTCTAGGATCAGGGCGCTGAGGTATTTAGAGAACAAAGGTTTGGAGAAGAGGAGATGAAGTCAAGGGACAGAAAGGCCAGGGTATTATAAGGGTGGTATTCAGTATTTGCGCCAAGGATTAAACTGAGAGTTGCTGAAGGCCAGGTGTTTGCAACTTTAAAGGATGGGATGGCCTAGGGCTGGGTGACCCTAAGAGAGGGGCAGAAGTGGGATCATCTGATGACAAGAGTTCCAGAGGTCTCAGGGCTTAAGGAAGGAGGCAGAGACCGTGTGAAAAGGGCAGTGAAGCCCAGGAGGCCCCTCCCCACCTCTGACCCAGGGGCAGCAGGTGCTCAGCGGGGAGCATGGGCTCAGCCCAGGCAGCCATTCCAGTCCATGGAGGACTCTCCAACCTGTGTCCCCCCAGCTCCAGATTTACCTGTCTGACCTGGGCATCCCCATGTGAACACTCTGCACACACCTCAAACAGTGAAATCCAAGCAGACGCTTCTTCCTGCGCCTGCTCTCCTCCCGTGTTCCCTGCCAACTCCGCCATCCTCCACCAAGTCGCCAACCCACAATCTGTGTCATAATTTAGAGCCTTTTCTTTCCCTGGTCCCCACCTGCAAGGTGGTCATCGGGGCTGCTGGTTTTCCTTCTCCTCAGTTGTCCACCCCAGGACCACTGTTTATACATGGCATCTCTCATGCAGACCTGCATCCCCTCCCATCTGGATTTCCTACCTTTAATCTTGCCTCTCTTAAATCTTTCCTCTGAATTGTCTCCAGAGGGATCTTTTAAAATTAAACCTGGCCAGATGCAGTGTCCTATGCCTGTAATCCCAGCAGCTCCAGAGGCTGAGGCAGGAGGATTGCAAATTCAAAGCCAGTATCAGGAACTTAGCAAGGCCCTAAGCAACTCAGTGAAACCCTGTCTCTAAATCAAATATAAAAAACGGTCTGGGGATGTGGTTCAGTGGTTGAGTGTCCCTGGGTTCAATTCCCAAAAAAAAAAAAAAAAGTCAAATCTGACCATGAAAAATCTGATCATATACCTGCCCTGCCTAAAATCATAGATGTTTATAGAGCAAAGTCCCAGTTCCTTAACCTGTCTGCTCCACCAGGACAGGTAGTTTTGTCTCTTAATGTTCACGGTTGTGTCCCCAGGGCCTAAGACAAAGCCTTACACATAGTTGGTGCTCAGTGTAAATTTGCTGAATAAACAAATGAATGAAACCATCACAGTCTGGCTCTTGCCTCTTCCTCAGCCTCATTCCTAATTCCCCTTCTCATACTCCATATGATCATTAATCTCTATGCTTGAGCATGTGTTCTTCCTCTACCTGGGATCCCTTTGTCTGGAACTTCTGGTGAACTCATTCATCCTTCAAAACCTTGCTCAAAGGTCACCTCTTCTCTGGAATCGCCTCTGAATTCCTAGAGAGAATCATGACTTTCTTATCTATATTTCTTCAACACTTTGAACTTTACATGTGTTACATGGTATTGTATAGGTACATTCACATGTCTGGAAACATGGCACCTAGGACATAATATGCATTCAAGGGAACTGTTGTTGCACTGGGAAGTTAGATTATGAACGAGAATGGAAAGTACTGAGATAATTCATACCTTTCTGATGAAGAAATGGTTAACAGTTTCCCATCCCACCCCCAGGACTTATGCTGGGCCCATTTTACTTTATGTTCCTGTAGATAATCAAGGGTATAGTCCAAGACCAAGCTGAGGGGGTCTGCACAACGCCAAAGGCATTTGGCAGGAGGATGAACTATGAGCTGCTGCTTTTATCCCAGGAAACAGATTATCACTCCTATTTCACGGGTATCTCAGGACCTACAGTGTAATCAGTAAGAAAGATCATAGTCCACCCTATGTATGGTGTTGAGCTATGAGGTGCTGCTTTATCTTAGGAAACAGATTTTTAGAGTCCCCATATAGTTTACAAAATGTTAGGCATTATCAGGGTGGGAACCAGAAACTGAAGAGAATATATCCACCCCTCCACCAAAAGATGTTGGGCTCTCCCTTGGAATTCCCGTGCTATATTTTTGTGGCAGCTGGAGAAGAGTTAGGTGTCCTGAGGTGGTCCCAGAGACAGAGTTACTACAGTGTTGAGAGAGACCACAAGAGCCAAAGAAATGATCATGATAGGGCTGGGGTTGTGGCTCAGCGGTAAAGCGCTCACCTAGCACGTACGAGGCCCTGGGTTCGATCCTCAGCACCACATAAAAATAAATAAATAAAATAAAGGTATAAAAATTATTAAGAAAAAGAAATGATGATGATGGCAAAATGGCTAATATTTATGAGTACTTGCTATGTACCAGGTGCTGCACTTTAGGTGTTAAATTTCATTTCATTCTTATCACAATCCAATGAGGTGGGAATGATAGTCATAACCTGGTTTTACAGATGAGGAAAGTAAGGCTCAGAGAAGTTGAGTGAGAAGTCCAAGGGCACACAGCTAATAGTTGATAGAACCAGGACTTAAACCCAGCTTTCTCTACCCAAAACGTTTGAGTCCCCAGTGTCCCCATGGATATGATAACCAAAGTTGTGAATCCTGAAGGACACAAATAGAAGGAACAAATCTCAGAATACTGCAGTAAGTGCAACTCAGAAGACGTGAGAGGAACCGTTTTTATATGTGTGACAACCATGACATCACCTTACTGGTTGTATAAGCAAGGTGGGGGAAAAATGTAGGAGCAAGGTTTAACTGTATTCCGGGGTATTTGATGATTTCAGATATATTGAGTTAATATGAATTTCAAACAATTTAAGGTCTGCATTATAGCAGACCTCTTCTACATATTCCTGGAAGATATCCTTAGGAACTGTTGTCCATATTCCTGGAAGATATTCTTAGGAACTGTTGTCCAGGCATGAATTCTGATCCAGAAGTCTGTTCCTCCTGAGGATTTTTTCAGTTTTGAAGATAATGAGATAATTCAGAGTCTGTCTTCTTCTCAAGCTACTATAACAAAGTATAAGGGACCAGGTGGCATAAACAACAGAAATGTATTTTCTCACAGTTGGAAGGCTTGAAGTCCAAGGAGGAGGTGCAGGCAAGGTTGGTTTCTGGTGAGGCCTGTCTTCTTGGTTTGCAGATGGTAGTTCCCACAGTGTCCTCACACAGGCTTGTGTGTGCTCTAGGGTAGGGAGGGGAGACCAGAATAAGGGGGAGAGAGAGACTGAGAGATCAGTCATTTCGAGTGTCTTCTCTTTTAGGGCCTCCAGACCTATCATTTAAGCACCACCCTTATGAGCTCTTTTAACATGAATTACCTCCTTAAAGGCCTTATCTCCAAATACAGTCAGCTTAGGGGTTAAGCCTTTAAGGTATGAATTTGTGGGGGGACACGGAACAGTCCCTAACAAGGTCTCACCATCTCAAAATGAAATCAAACAGAATAGACACACCAGAGGGAGTATGTTTCAGGAAGCATCTCCAGCTCTCCACGTGAAGATACCTGTGTCCTGGGATGTATTTCTGACTGTGAGTCAAGAGAAGTGTGAGAGCTGTGTCTGTGGCAGTTCCTGCAACCTAGTGTCAGAAGCCCATTTTACGTCTAGCTCATTGGGAGCCAGAGCTGGAGTTAGGCTGGTGTTTTGATACCCTCCCTATGTGTCTGGGCTGGTGGAATCCCCCAGCTCAGGATCCCATCCATCAGAGGGTGGCCAGGGTTTCCACGGCTTACAGTACCGCTAAATCAATCCATTGGGTTCTACAGGTGACGTGTTGGTCGTCCCCATCAAGCTGCACAAGTGTCCTTTCTGCCCTTACACTGCCAAACAGAAGGGCATCCTCAAGCGGCACATCCGCTCGCACACTGGCGAGCGGCCCTACCCGTGCGAGACCTGCGGGAAGAGGTTCACCAGGCAGGAGCACCTGCGGAGCCACGCCCTGAGCGTAAGTGCCCCGCCCCCGGGCTCTTCTGGCAGGGGCAGCTCCTGATATTACCTAATGTAAGGGTAAAGCAGCTTGTCTTTCCCGTCTCTGTCCTCTGAGGTATTGTCAGAGAATTTTGAACATATTTCTCCTACTGAATTAAAGCTGGGCTGGTAGCCCTTAGAGAAAACTAAAACACAGGTGATTACAGACTGGTTTTCTTTCCTTCCTTCCTTCCTTCCTTCCTCCTCTTTCTTTCACTCTCCCGCGCCTCCCAGACCCCTTTCTGCTGGGAACTGAACCTAAGGGCACTTTGTCATTGAGCCACATCTCCATTAGGGCCTTGCCACACAGACTAGTTTTCTACAGAGAGAGTAAAGGACTTTTAGATCCTGCTTAGGAATGGTTGTCAAAAGGCAGAGAACAACAGGGCTTGGACAGGGAAGTGGGGATCTTCCCACTGGTGTGATCCCAGAGATAACCTGCATCCTCAGTTTCCCCTGGGGGTGGGGGAGGGGTGTGTTACCATGTATAAGGCTACCTGTAGGCAGCAAAGAGGGCTTCAACCCAAAGTTACCTCTCTTCTATCCAGCTGCCCCTAGGATTCTATTTTCATGTGAGCTGGTGATTCCCACCAGCCACAGAACCTTCCAGCCATTTAGAAAGTCTCTGCATTTATGGTCATCTCTGAGCAAGGTAGTTAATCTTTGGAAAAGCCAAAATAAGGCCAGGGAATGTAGCTCAGTGGTAGAGCACTTGCCTAGCATGTACAAGGCCCTGCATTCCATCCCCAGCACTACTCCCCCACCAAAAAAAAAAAAAAAAAAAGCATGTGAGCCAAGTGCAGTGGTGCACACCTGTAATCCTAGCGACTTTGGAGGCTGAGACGGGAGAATCTCGAGTTCAAAGCCAGCTTCAGCAATGGTGAGGTGCTAAAGCAACTCAATGAGACCCTGTCTCTAAAAATTATACAAAATAAGACTGGGGATGTGGCTCAGTGGTCGGGTGCTCCTGAGTTCAATCCCTGGTACCCCCACCCCCCCCCAAAAAAAAAGAATGTAAAAACCCATAGAATGAGATAAAATCTCTGCAAGGCACATGTTTGGTAAGGGTCTGAAAAATTTAAAGAACTCTTACAATGAAACAATAAAAAAGGCATAATTTAGTTAAACATGGTCAAAGAATTTGAGTAGATATTTCTCTAATAAAAAGACATGCAAATGGCCGATGAGCACCTGTAAAGATGCTCACCATTATTACTTATAGGGTAAATGCAAATCAAAGCCAACGTGAGATGCTACTTTACACCCACTAGATGCTATCATTGTTGGTTGTCTTTATCAGTCTTTCTTGTCCCTCTCTCTTGTATGTATCCTGGTTCTCAGAGCTGCTGTACCCTGGAGTCCCTATAGAGTGCACACATAGAAAGACATTACCTGGGGCTGGAGATATACTTCAGTTGGCAGAGTGCTTGCCTTGAATGTACAAGCCCTGGGTTCAATCCCCAGCACCACCAAAAAAAAAAAAAAGATATTTCCTTATACAGAGGGAGTGACACATACCTGTAATCCCAGCTCCTCGGGAAGCTGAGGCAGGAGGATGGAAAATTCAATGCCACCCTTAGCAACTTAGCAAGACCCTGTCTCACATTTTTAAAAGATAAATAAAAAGAGCCAAGTGTTCAGCTCAGTGATGGAGTGTTTGCCCAGCACATGCAAGTCCCTGAGTTCAATCCCTAGCATCAATCCTAATCAGTTCATTGAATGCCCTTTATGTGCCAAGAACTAGGAATTCAGTAATGAATGAGATAGCTTCTGTCCTTGCCCCTTAGAGCCTACAGTCTACTGAATTTTGTCAATGATTTATGAGGCATACAACAAAGGAAGAAGCTTAGGTGAGAATATATAGTTGGGGACCCTAAGCTGGCTCAGAGCATCAGGGACAACTTTCTTGAAAGGCATTAGAGAAGAGCGAGGAGCTGGAGATGGGAAGGGGGAACACTCCACACACATCCAGTGGTCCTGGGGTGGAAAGGACCTTGGTGAGACTGAGACTCTGCATAGAAAGCAAGGGGGAGAGGACAGGAAGTGAGGGTGGAGGTCAGGCAGGGGCCAGATCACATGGGCCTGTGGACCCTGGCTCAACCCCTTTTCTGTGATACTTACTGTGTCTTTTTGTGATCATAGGTACACAGATCTAACCGCCCAATCATATGCAAGGGCTGCAGAAGAACCTTCACTAGCCACCTTTCTCAGGGGCTGCGGCGCTTCGGGTTGTGTGACAGCTGCACCTGTGTTTCAGACACTCATGATGACGATGACGATTTGATGCCCATCAACCTTAGCCTTGTGGAGGCGTCATCTGAAAGCCAAGAGAAGAGTGACACAGACAATGACTGGCCAATCTATGTGGAGTCTGGCGAGGAGAACGACCCCACCGGAGAAGATTCTGATGACAAACCACAAATTCGATCCAATGCATCAGAGCGGGAGACACTGACATAGCAATAAATGGGTGGGGAAGACATCTTAGAATGCATTCTTGCTCATTCTGCGGCAAAAGCCCCCATTGGTTCAATATTGAGCAACCCTGGGAGGAACTTTTTTTTTTCATTGTGATTATAATTGCATTTTTGTTAGGCTACCCGGTAGAGGCCAAATTTTTTTATTTAAGACTGATAACTTTAAAAATTTTATTTTTATTTTATTCATTTATTTATATGTGGTGCTGAGAATTGAACCCAGTGCCTCACATATTTGAGGCAAGTGCTCTACCACTAAGCCACAACCCCAGCCCAAGACTGATAACTTTTTAGTGTGGTACCCTCCATTTCTGAGGGCTTTGCTGACCACTCCTTAATTCTGAGTGAATTGAGGGTAGCCCAAAGTTTTCCTGTTTTTCCTGCTGTGCATCCAACCTCTGGTTAAGAGGAAGATAAGAAAATCCAGATGCTTGTTTTCACATTGTCCCAATCCTCTGCATCCCTTTTTTAACATCCTTTTTCTCCAGTAGGCAGGACTACATTAAGTCTTGGGATCAGTCTTCCCTTTGTCAAGCCTGTCCTAAAGATTTCCACATTTTAATTTTCTGGCAATGTATTAAAGGGAATGTTTCTTTGATATAAAAAAGACTGACTGAATGATCATAAAAGGTACTCCAAAACTATAGTCTTAAAGACTGGGAGTATTTATGTGCAGAAAAGCCTGGAAATGAACTGAAAGGTTCATTAGGGCATCCCACTTGCCCAGTTGAATTATATTTTATAATATTTTATAATTCCCAAGAAGGGAGCCGTGAGCCAGGGCTGGGTGGTTTCCCTGTCTGGTTTGGTATTCAGCAATTCTAAACACACAAATAACCTGTTCTGAGATCATAAAGCAAGTTACTTGGGTAAAACTCAAATTGTTGCCCTACTTGTTCCACCCATTTCCAAAGCACATCTCTATGTAACACAGAAATGAAGCCACCCATGACATTTCTTTCATTCTTTAACTTTGTCTATGCCCAGAACTTTAATTGGAAGGAAATTATAAGCCCATCTAAACAAGTTCTATTTCTGAATCATTTATCTTTTTTTTAAATTTATTTATATGCGGTGCTGAGAAACGAACCCAGGGCCTTACACATGCCAGGCAAGTGTGCTACACAGAGCCTCAACCCCAGCCCTCATTTACCTTTTTTTTTTTTTTTTTTTAGAGAGAGAATTGTAATATTTATTTATTTTTTTAAAATTTTTCGGCGGACACGACATCTTTGTTTGTATGTGGTGCTGAGGATAGAACCCAGGCCGCACGTATGCCAGGCGAGCATGCTACTGCTTGAGCCACATCCCAGCCCCTCATTTACCTTTTAAAAGACCCTCTCAAAGGAAACAGAAAATTAATTGAACAGGTTTTGAAGCCAATCTGCTTTTTATCTACAGTGCAGCTGTATGATCATTCTAACAAAAGAGGCTGAACGTCTTTAAAGGGTTAAAGAGCATACTCTTTAGGAGAAATTAGGGACAAAGGATGTACTTGAATGCACTTTCAAATTTTGTCTTAAAGTATCCAAAATGAATTTTTAAAAAAAATCCCTTTGTCTTAAAGTATCCAAAATGGATTTTTAAAAAATCCCTTTGTCTTAATGTATCCAAAATGGATTTTTTAAAAAATCCCTTTGCCTTTAATTTTCATACAGTGTGTTTCAAAAGGATGTGAAATCAACTTTTCTTTCTGCCTCTTGAACAAAAACAAAAAATCAAGAGCAAGTGTAAATTGTAAATTGGCTTGTAGGTGTCGGTCTGGTTCTTGAAGGGTTAAAGAGGGCTTTTTTATTGTCCTTGTTTGTTTGTTTGTGGTGCTGAGCATTGAATCCAGGGCCTGGCTAAACAAGCACTCTACCAGACAGGACAGTCAGGAATTAAGAGTATAAAGAAAAAAAAATTTTTTTTGTTTTTTTGTTCAGGGATTGAACCCAGGGTGCTTTACCACTGAGCCACATCCCCAGCCCTTTTTATATTTTATTTTGAGACAGGGTCTTGTTAATTTTCTTAGGGCCTCACTAAATTGCTTATGTTGGCTTTAAAATCACACACACAAAAAAACCTTCTGCCTCAGCCTTCCAAGTTGCTGGGATTATAAATGTGCACCTCCATGCCTGGTTAGAAACTTTTATAACACTTTGGTCTTGTGACAGCCACACATGTGATCAGTGGCCTATTCTTCAACCGGGTATGGGCCAGCTCAGGCATGGCCAGCTGTGAGCCATACTGTGCAAAGACTGGATACTAGGCCATGCAGAAGATTGGAAATTTAAAAATTGGTCTCTCACCACAAACTGTCAGAAAAATAGTTATTCTAAATCAAGAGTTATACATTGAAAATTATCAGAGACCAAAAATAACTTCTTACATGAAATGGAAATATTAGCTATAATTTCAAAAAATTGATTATTTTTATTTTTTAGATGTTGATGGGCCTTTATTTTATTCATTTATTTATATGCAGTGCTGAGAATCAAACCCAGTGCCTCATACATGCTAGGTAAGCAGTCTACCACTGAGCCACAACCCCAGCTCCTCAAAAAAGGGATTTTAGCAAAAGAAAACTTTTTTTTAGGTGTAGATGGACACAACACAATGCCTTTATTTTTTTTTAACTTTTTTTTTTTTTGAGAGAGAGAGAGAATTTTTTTTAATATTTATTTTTTTTTAGTTTTCGGCGGACACATCATCTTTGTTTGTATGTGGTGCTGAGGATCGAACCCGGGCCGCATGCATGCCAGGCTACCGCTTGAGCCACATCCCCAGCCCACAATGCCTTTATTTTTATGTGGTGCTGAGGATCGAACCTGGGTCCCGCCTGTGCTAGGGGAGCGCTCTACCACTGAGCCACAGTCCCAGAACCGCCAAAGAAAACTTAGGGGTTTAGACTTGTTTTATAAGGACTTTTATTTAATATTTTTATTTTCTTTTTAATTTATTTCTGATTTTTTTTTTTTTTTTTTTTAGATGAGGGTGGTCTCACTATCTTGTCCAGGCTGGCATTGAACTCAGGACCCTCCAGCCTTAGCCTCCTAAAAAACTATCACACCCAGTTTATTTCTAATGTTTTGTTGTTGTTGGAGGGTACTGGGGATTGAACTCAAGGGCACCTGGCCACTGAGCCACATCCCCAGCCCTATTTTGTATTGTATTTAGAGACAGGGTCTCACTGAGTTACTTAGCACCTCACTTTTGCTAAGGCTGGCTTTGAACTCGGGATACTCCTGTCTCTGCCTCCCGAGCTGCTGGGATTACAGGCATGTGCCAACATGCCCGGCAATTTCTAATGTTTTAATACTACTTTTCTGGGCTGGGGTTATGGCTCAGCAATAGAGCACTTGCTTAGCACATGTGACACCCTGGGTTCGATCCCCAGCACCACATATAAATAAATAAAATAAATGTATTAAAGAAATTTCTACCTCACAGTTCAACTTCTGTCTGCCTTTTCTGGGAGAGCCTTGATTCTCTTCAGTGATCCTGTAACCTATTCATATCATTGGGTAAAGTTTCATTGTAAGACATTGATTTTCAATTTAGAGTGATTTTGCCCCACAGAGGACATTTGGCAGTGTCTGGAGTTATTTTCAGTTGTTATGACATGGGGCAGGGTGCTGCTGGCATCTAATAGATAAAAGACTAGGAATGCTAATAAACATTCTACAATATGTAGGACAGGGGCCTCACAGCAAAGAATCATATAGTTCAAGACATCAGTAGTACCAAGTTTGAAAAACTGGGTATTTGACAGCTTGCTGTTGCTGTGATACAATGCCTGAGAAAAACACTTAAAAGGAGGAAAGATTTATCTTGGCTCACATTTGGAGATTTTAGTTCATGGTCACTTGGCTCCGTTGTTTCTGGGCCTGGGTTGAGGTAGAATGATGTTGTGGGGAGGGTGTAGTGAAGCAAAACTGTTCACCTCAGGGCTGCCAGGAAGCAAAGAGAAGAGGAAGGTACAGGGGACAAAAACATAGCCTTTAAGGGCATGCCCCCGCCCCAGGACCTACTTCCTCCAATTAGGCCCCACCTCCTAGGGTTGTTTTGTTTTTTTTAACCACTTCCCAACAGCCCAGAATCCATCAAGTGGATTAACTAATTAAGGTAGTTTGATCCAATCACCTTCCAAAGGTCCCACTTCTGAACACTTTGCCTTGGGGACCAAGCCTTCAACACACCAGCGTTTGGGGGACATTTCAGATCCAAGCCATAACACCCTTCTGTAAGATATGGTAAGATTTTTTTTAAATGACCTTTAATGTGTGAACTTAATTTTTGTTCAGTTACTGAAGCCAGATGGTTCACAGCTTGGTTTAGATTTATGATGCAGAAACTTAGAAATCCTGACTCTGATTCCTATACCCGGAACAATTGTCTCTGTTCATTTTTGTTAAGTTTTAAAGTAGCAGAATCATTAGGAGCAAAACAGAATGTGAAGCTTAATATGGAAAAGATTTTCTTTCTTCCATGATATCTCAGGTTGTGACATTCCTGGTCGACTGTCTGGAGTTTGTGTGTGATACACGATATGACCAGTCACTGGGTATAACTGGATTGCTGAATTTTTTTCACTTTTAAAGGAGATACTTCCTTTGGATCATCAGATCATAAACAGGTTGTCAGTTAAATTTATATCATATTTGATGGTCAGTATTTATTAACATAATGAATTTGAGGTTTCATTCATGGAGTTGGTGATTTTTGTTTTCCTTTCTGCAGGACTGGGGATGGAACCTAGTGCCTCACACGTGCTAGGCCAGTTCTCTGCCACTGAACCACATCCCCAGCCCGCAGTGATATTTTTATAAAAAGTAAATTCATAGTTGGGCCCCAAACAGATTATTAGTAATTTATTAGTAATTTTGTTTATATTCTGGCATCCTTCTGGCACATTCAGTTTAAGTTCACAAAGGGATATTTTTGTCTCACAATAGATACATTGCATGGATGGGAACAGGATTCTTATAATGGAATTCAAAATTGGTGTTCTTAGGAAGCTGTTTCTCTTGAGAGATGGGAGTCCCCCTTGCCAAGTGTTGGGAAAGAGTGTAAATAAGGCCTGTAACTATAATAATTAGGAAATGACACTGCACATCATAGGTTCTGATCATTTGGCAAAAGGATGTAAATATTTTGGTGGCCACTAGTCTCTGCAGATTCTTTAAGGAAACTGCTGACCTAGCGATCTACAGAATGTTGTGGAATTGAGTGTTCTGGTGATTCAGGGTACTGTGATGGGTTTTTTTGTTGTTAATTGATGTTGCGACAAACTCCACTGCGAGGAAGGCAATGGGTGGGGCTACGTGCACCAATTCTGAGAGTAGTGGCAAGACTGCAGTGGCCTTTGGTCCACGGATTCATACTTTCATTAGCTTCTCTAGGTTTGCTTGTGTGTCCCTTGTGCATTGAGAATAGAATTAACTATGTGAAGTCTAGCATAAGGGGCTAGGGAGGGGCAGAGGGTTGGGTGGGTAAGAAGTCCCTGTCACACTGTTTTGAGCATTGCTGCTGTACTTCCTGTTGTCATTGGTCTGTGTGGCTTGCCTTGTGCTTTCATGCGATTGCTCACATGATCTTCTAATCCTAAAAGGGGCCCTTTATTTGGTTGCTTATAATGAACAATATTTTGTTGACTTTTGCT